GAGTTCCTGAACACAATTGTATCTAGAATTGCAGGTGAAGTCCTCTCATCTCACCTGCAGAATGAATTCCACGATTCAGATTTTGAATCAGGCCCTGAATGGTCATAGGCCAGTGCTCAAAGATGGGCAGCCAATCAGGAACCTTTCAGCAGTCAAGCTCCACCTCTTAGAGCTAGAATATGCACAAATTTTCACAATAGTCAGAAAACTGTCGTGTCTGGCAATGCATATTCACCTAGAATAGCTCCATAGTGAAATACACAGCAAATAAATTTAATAATAATAATTAATGATACAATACTTCCTCCTTGGAATTTTTTTCTACTCTCTTAAGAAATGCTATGTTTACCGTATATAATTGTACTCAGGCACCAACAAAGTTCCCCAGAAACTGCATTTTGGGAAGTGTTAGAAATTAGTCACACAGCATGAAGCATTTCAAATGTGATGTAGCTGGGCTTAGTTGCTGCCTAGACAATTCAACAATTGTTATTTCAGGAAACAGATGTCAAGAAGAAAAAGATCAGGAGAGGCAACTATATGATGAAGGGATAGTCCAACTATATGTAAGCTTCAGAACAAACTGAATTTTAATATCCACCACTCAGGAACAGCAACAATACAGTTAAATTCCACCTCCCATTGTAGCCATGGGGAAAGATTATGGAAATTGCAGTCTAACATCTGGAGGAACACAAATAATAGAACGGGCCTATCTCAAGAATTGTTTAGAAACAATAGATTCCCTGATTCATGTTCTATGTTAATAATGTAAGAATTATTTCTATTTTCCCCACTGATTATTTCATATTTAATTTAAAATACCCTATTTTCTAATCCCCTGTGTGTGGGTAGTGAAAATCATTAAAAACAGAACAATCACAGGAAGTTTTAACTCCCCATCCCACCCTCCCAAGGCTACAAAAACAAAGTGCTAAATGAAAGAGTACTATGAAGGAAAGTCCCATTTTACTACTGGATACACTTTAAAATTATTCTCTGCAAGCCTGAAAATTTATCTTTTAAAGAAAAATTACAACCAAAGCTACGATAATTCCTAGAATGCCTCCAGTGCAGCAACAGATAGATCAGCGGTTCTCAACCTATGGGTCGCGACCCCATTTGGGGTCGATCAACCATTTCACGGGGGTCGCCAAGCAAGGCTGTCCGCCATTTTTTTTCCCTTTTCCGGCGGGTGCCTTACCTCCCTTGAGCTGGACCAGCTGGTGGTCGGCCTGCTCCGTCTCTGCCGCTTGCCAGCTACGCCTCGGCTGGCGCAAGGGGCGGAACCACGCATGCGCGGCGCTCCCGGGCAGGGAAAGTCGACTTACGACTGGTCGGGTAGTCCTCAACTTACGACCGGTTTAGTCCTCGACTTACGACCGGTTTAGTCCTCGACTTATGACCGGTTTAGTCCTCGACTTATGACCGGTTTAGTCCTCAACTTACGACCGGTTGGGGGTCGCGGCATTAAAAAGGTTGAGAACCACTGAGATAGATCGATTGTGTTCAAACAAGGGCTTCAGTTCAACAAACTTGTTTTCGCTGGAAAATGTGTGAAGATAAGCAAAAGTGGGCTTTGGGACAGCTTCTTAAATGAGAACACACCCCTTTATTTGGCTGATGTGGAATCAAAAAGCAAATAATCAAGGTTCATTACATATATTACATATATATATTGCATGCATGCGTCATTTTCTCCTCCTTTTTTGAAATGTATAAATATCAATGCTTGTCTTTTTCTAGATGTGTATGTGTGTATGTATGTTACTATGGGAGAAGACAAACCTTGCAGTATGTACTGAATAATAAAGCTAATGTGTTCTCATACTCTATCTGTATTTCATTTCATAGCGAGAACTACGAAAAACCACAATCTTGATTGAAGTAACAGTGGTGGGATGAATAATCTTTTTTTTCTGGGAAGGAAAGAGTCAATCTTCCTTGTTCCTCTCCACCCAAATCTAGTTTTACAGTTCTCCAGAGTCCAGCCTAACAAGGTTTTAATTATGCAAACGAACAAAATAAGTAACTTGAGCCTGTGCATTGTTTAACACATCCTGGAATGCACCCAGTCGGATTTCTATCACCTAGCACAAAAGCTGCATAAACAATATTTGTGCTGCAAGACGCTGCAAGTTGCAGCACAGTCTTTCTCTTATTAGATTCCACTGAAGTTAACTGCAAGCAAACCTAATTTACCACATTTTAGCCTCCAGTGTTGGGCAAGTACAGGCTGCATTGGTTAGCCTCTGATCTCCTCAAAAATCCTGGCTTATTTGGATAATATCCTTGGCTTATTTCATTAACCTCTGGTTCAGTTAAGCATGGGTAAAGGTGCTGGGTTTGAACCCAACCTCTTCCTCCGGCCAAGTCCCAAAAGAATATAACAGAACCTGGACATGGAACATAGCCCGCTTTGGAGCATTTTGTCTTCAGCAAATAACAACCTTCCACTGTTTAAAAAGCAAAGGCTTATCTGGGACACTTTGCAATAATCTGCTGACCAAAGGTTATAGGTAGAAGTTCAATGTTGAGAAGTGTACATAATGCAAAAACAAGGAACACCTGTTTTGACCCCTGGAGGAATAAGGCGTATACACACCTCATAAGGATACTATTTCTCTCCAAACAAGAAATACATCATTCTTGTTTTGGCCACCAGGTATCACATAGTACCTTGAAGTTTTTCCTAGTGTCTTGGAGCCATATTTAATCTGCTCAGTGACTCAGGTAGGTAGGTAGGTAGTTGGTCTACTCAAAAGTTTGTGGTTGAGAAAAATGGGATAATAGAGATATACCTTTGGCAGCATTGGCTGATTAATGTGCTAGTTTTACCTGGGTTTCAAAGAGTTGAGTGGGTGCTGTTTATTACAAAGCACTATGTAAAACTGGTTTTTAGCAGGACAAAAGTGCTATTTCCTGCTCCCAATTCTCCAGCAATTGTGATTGCAATGGCCTCTGAATGCCATGGAAAAGGGAGGCTGGGGCCTCAAATTGCAGCCCCCATCCCCATTTGCTCCTCAGTAGGCTTGAGATAAGAGAAAGGGTCTTTTTATCTGAGCACTGCACAGGTGATTCCAGCCATTGGGGGTCTTGAGCATCCAGAGTACCACATTCTCCTGCCTTCTTCAACAAGCCAGGATCCAGAAAAACAAAAAGAATGTGTGAATCCAACCAATGATTTAGAAAACCACTGAGAAAAGCAGGGAAGGACGCAGGATGGGCAACTCCCTTGCTCTTCCTGATCAGCTGGTTGTAGGAAATGTGTTTGAGTTGTGGAAACGTGTGAAAGGAAGACGTCAAATGCAAGCTTAGGTCCCTCTCCTTGCTTGGAACATCAGAATGGAGCTTGCACACAAAGTGAGTTAGTTTCATCTGTGCTTTTCATTTGGAAACAGTCCCATAGGAGTTAATAGCAAATTTTTTAACCAAGTTTTTTTTTTCCTTTTAACTTTTCCAGGCAGTAATATCAAAAAAAGGCTTGCTTTCTGCTTAGTTATTATTTTGCAATAAGTGAAACATTCAGTTTTCTGCCAGAGAAACCCAGAACCATGTAAGATCATTTAGTCCAGCAGCAAGACCTGTGCAATACAACAACTTTTGCACATACATGCTCAGTGTTGCAAGACAAGACTGGAACTGCTTCAGGGAAATTCAGTTACGACTGGCTGGTACGAAGAAATTACTGTATATTGGCTACTGCAGAAATAGAAATCTTATCTCGTGGGAATGGCCAATGGTTAGATTCCATTCTCCCAGGTTCTGTTTTTTGAAAAAGAAATCCACTAAGCACGAAACAAACCAACAGAGATTGCTCCCTACATGCTGAATAGGCACCATACCAGTGTTTTTCAAACTTGTTTCTCAAACTTTCCCAACACGCTTGCTGGGGAATTCTGGGAAAGCTGCCAAGTTTAAGAAACTCTGCATTATAACAACCCAGCCCAGGCCAACGCAATCTCTGTGGTTCTGAAAAGAATTAAATCTCACACCAGAAGCCAACGTATGGCAGAAAACCCACGAAGGCTCTCAGACAAAGGGAGCCCACTTTTAAGACTGAGGCAAAAAAAGAAGGCCGATCATTTTGCAGCCTATTGTGGAGTTTTACCCTCTCGTACGGGGGGAACAAATGGCTCGTGGTTCTTATTTTAAACATGGTTAGGTCACATTCTTGAAGCCGTTCTTTAATGCACGATTCACTGAAACACAGGATGGCAGACAGCAGGCGCTGTGCATTTATTTAGAGTACTGGACTTGCAGGCGCTGCACATTTTATTGACAAATAAGTACAGTAACTGGAGACAGCAAAGTCTTCTCGGTTAGCGAAGTCCCGCTAAAATCACGACCATCTCCCGCCATTGACTTTTCTCCCTCCCCCAGCCCCCCAAATAACATAACCTACAAAGGATTTCCGCCTGCTTGCATCGCAGCCATGAAACGGTTTTTGCGAATGTAATCTCGCTAGGCTCCGTGGGGCTTAATCGTTTGTGGACAAGGAAAAAAAGGGGCAACTGGCGGATTCGGTCGGCCCCGAAGCTCTTGTTGTCTTTGCTAACAAAGCACCGGGGGAGGGGGGGGGGAAGCGACTACTCGGTGGGGCGAATAGGCCCGACTCGAGAGAGGAACCAGAAAGTTGCAGATCTGGGAGTACGAAATGGCAAGCCGAGAAATTAAAAAGTAGCCGTGGTGCATTGGGCGAGTGACCCAGAGGCATGCATGGGCTTTTGTTTTAATAACCCGATCCGGGCCAGGTCACCAGCGATCTGATTGAAAAGATCGGCTCCTGCGTTTTCCTCGACGTGCAGTATACCCGATGGAACTGCAAAGGGCATGCATCCGAAGGGGACCCATCTTGCAAGCTTTACGGTGGGAGAACGGGGGGTGGAGGGGTGGGGGGTCGTCTTAAGAATCCTCCTCTGCAACCATTAAACCTTCCCCCCTTTTGTCTTCTTCCCCCACCCGCTCCGCAAGACGGAACCGATCAACTTCGCACCGACCTGTTGCAGCTCGTTGGTGAAATAAAGGAAAGTGATGGCCACGCAGATGGATTGCAACAGCACGGCGAAAATCAGGACGAGCCCGCAGGTCTGGCCCGTGCTGGGACCGCCGGATGCCAACATGGTGGTCGCTGGCGGACAAAAGGGGGACTCGCACGAGTGAGAGAGCGGACGGGCGACGCTGCCCCTGTGTGGAGGGAGAGGCCTGCTGGCCTCGGATTAGGGTTGTTAAGGTGGAGCCGCGTCGGGACTTCGCCTTTCAAAGCCCTCTTGCTCCTCCTCCTTTTCCTTGCTCTCTCTAGGCGGCGCGGATATGGCACTTTTTGAAAAGTCTGGGAAGTTGGAGAGAGATCCCGGGATGCTGAGGGAAGGAAGGAAGGAAGGAAGGAAGGAAGGAAAAGAGGAGAGATAGAGAAAGGAAGGAAGGAAGGAAAAGAGGAGAGAGAGAGAAAGGAAGGGAGGGAGGAAAGAAAGAAGGGAGGAAGGAAGGACTGTCTATGGAAATTCTCAAATCATCCAGGTCGTGGTTCTCCCAAAGGTACTTTTTCCAAAAGGCAACTGAAGAAGTTTCTTGGATAAGAAGCGAAACGTTTTCAAAGAAAAAAAACACACACACCAAGAAAAGTCGATTTGTCTTTTGGAAAAAGTAACTTTGGAACGGCCCGAATGGTTCACATCGCGGCGTTAAACAGATCGCGCTCGCTGCGTTTAGTTTAGTTGAATTCAAACTCTCCTGGCGCCTTCACACAACATGTTAACCCCGAAGGAACCCGTTTCCTGGAATTTGAACCAGACCTTAGACCAGTGGTTCTCAACCTTTTTAATGCCGCGACCCCAACCGGTCGTAAGTCGAGGACTAAACCGGTCGTAAGTCGAGGATTACCCAACCGGTCGTAAATCAAGGACTTTCCCTGCCCGGGAGTGCCGTGCATGCATGGTTACGCCCCCTGCGCCGGCTGAGGCGTAGCTGGCAAGCGGCAGAGACGGAGCAGGCCGACCATGAGCTGGCCCAGCCCAAGGGAGGTAAGGCACCCGCCGGAAAAGGGGGGAAAAATGGTGGACAAAAAAAATGGCGGACACCCTTGCTTGGCGACCCCCGTGAAATGGTCGATCGACCCCAAATGGGGTCCCGACCCACAGGTTGAGAACCACTGCCTTAGACCATCAATACGCTGGGTTTATACAGCACAGGGTAGGCTGCAAAAACAAACGGAGATTAAGCGCTAATTAGGCAAATTTAGCAGATTATACCGCTGCAACTGCATTGCTGACCAAGTTAAATCAACTGTAGGAATCGGATAAGGGTATTTTGAGAACCAATCCCATTGAATCATTTAATACTTTATAGCAATGTATAAATCTATAAAATGGTTTTATTTAGTAACCTGTTTAAATGTGTTGTGTGAATGCAACTATAGTGTGTTGCCAAATTCTGCAGAAGTTACTGTGAGTAGTTATTTGAAGAGGGTGGAGAATTCCTTAAATTGGCTAATTCATTCCACTCTGGTCTTTTGATGTCAAACCACATCATTGATGAGAAGAAAACTGAACTGTTGGGTTTGTGCCCTTGAAATGCAAAATACATATTATATTATTAATCATAAAGGCCAGGAAAGTTGCAGGCTCTGTCTGAGCTTGAAAAACTAAGCATGTTTGGATGGATAGCAAGCCTGTCTGATGTCAGCTTTTATCCTGGAAGAAGGCAATGGTAATAAACCACTCTGATATTTTTGTCAAGAAGACCACAAAGTAGAGTTGAAGAAAAAATTATCTACTACAAATAATTTTCCAGGGATCAATGGGTGGAGGGAAAAGCATCCAAAGTTTTAATTCAATACCTAGTATCATCACAAAAGTTGGCTTTTCTGGCAAAGATACAGAGTAGTACAGGTAGGCCTTGACTTATGACTATAATTGAGCCCAAATTTCTGTTGCTAAGTGAGATAGTTAAATGAGTTTTGCCCCATTTTATGACCTTTCTTGCCACCGTTGTTAAGTGAATCACTACAGTTAAATTAGTAACACAGTTATTAAGTGACTCTGGCTTCCTATTAACTTTGCTTGTCGGAAGGACACAAAAGGTGATCACGTGACCCCAGGACACCGCAACTGTCATAAATATGAGCCAGTTGCCAAGTGCTTGAATTATAATCACATCACTATGGGGATGCTGTGAAGGTCGTGTGAAAAACAGTCATAAGTCACTTTTTTCAGTGCTGTTGTAATTTTGAGCAGTCACTAAATGAATGGTTGTAAATTGAGGACTACGTGTACATTACAATAGAACTCCAAGAAGTATCCAGATGTTTTCACCCATTCCTCTACCTGTCCCACTGAAATTTTATCAGGTGGGTTATTTTCAGTGAGCATCCATTAGGTTTAGGACAAACTTTAACAGTTCTCCCCCACCCATAAGAAACAACGCCTATGAGCAAAAGAACATACACACTTTTTGTCTAGGACTGGATTGAGGGCTTTCTTAACACTCCATAACTGATAGCAGTTCAGAAATGGTGCCAATGGTTGGGTTTTGCAACCACCTTGCTGGTAGTCCCAGAGTTTTGCAGCTCATAGAAGTGATTGTCAACATTCAGCTCAAGAATCCAAATAAAATTCCAGGGTCATTCTGTCTCTGAAAATCTTACTGTTTATTGAATACACTGCATGGTTATGTTGAAGCAAAACTGACGCTGAGGCTCCAACACCAATTCATAGACTTAAACAATAATTTCCCCAGCCAAACCCCCAATGTCTTATGTAGTCCATATAAAGACGTTCACTTTGTTATGGGAACTGTCTGCTTTAAATCCACACCTGTTCTGGTATCCTTGAAAAGACTTCAGGCTCTCACAGTCTTCAGCTGAACTATAGAAGTTTTGTTTCTCCATCTAACCCACTTGAAAGTAAAACCTCTGCCTCCTTAATCTAAAAGCAAGTTGAAACGCAGAGGCACATGGCTGCCAAAGTTTCATCCTTGACATTAATGATGATCGCAGGTGGCCTTTAGAATATTGATAGAGATGGGGGAGTGGAATTGGCAGCAGGAAAAAGAATTTTGCAAATTGAATGAAATGAACTCCTGTGGATCCTTAAATGGACACCAGGACTGTTCTGGGCAATGCAAAAACCACTGGGTACTAATCCCAGGAAAAACAGTTTAGGGTAGTGGTGCACTGGGGTAGAAACTAGGAGGTGGTGAATTCTAGTTCTGTCTTAGGCCTGAAAGTCAGCTGGATGACTTTAGGCCAATCTCTCTCAGCCCTAAAAAAAAGGAAGGCGAAAGCAAGCGATTTTGAAAATGTAGCCAAAAAAGCATTACTGGAAGCCAGGAATCAAGGTTAACCTGAAGGTGCAACATCCCACCCCACAGAACGAGCTTATTTTCCTTCTAATATGGATTCGAGAGGGTGCTTGAGTTCATCCTCTGTAGCAGTAAATCGCTGTTTTGCATCAACTTAAAATTGACATATCATCATGATTAGGAATACTAAAAAATTTCCCTGAAACAGGATGACTAACTCATTCTTGTCTGCAGTAACTAGGGTTTCATTTTTCCTAGCTTTTACAACAGATATTTTTGCCTGAAACACTTTGTTTGGGGTTGTTTTGTTCATAGAGCTTACAATTTTAAAACTGTGCGTCCATACCTGTTTAGCATTTATGCCATACAAATCAGTTAACATATCTGATTGCTAGTAAAAGACACTGTTACCAAGTATTTGAGTGTAAAATGTAAATTCTGAAATGAATTTTCCTTTGGGTCTTCAAGGAGGAAAAGACACAGAACTGAATGACATGGAACAAGATTTACGGTATATCGAGACGGTTAGTAATACTAGCAAGACTTTAGGTTTCAGTTTTTCTTACTCATTTTAATTTCCTTGTGGCTCTTTTGAATATCATTGGTCTCCTGGTTTCATTTTCCTACAAACAAGCTGAAAATTTATGAGTGGCTAAAAAAGAAAGAAGTGATCTAAAAATCATGTGTTCCCAGAAGCACTGGAAAGGAAAGAATGGGTTATTTATCACCAGAACATTGTTCCTGTCATCATGAGTACGTTTTGGAGGGTCCAAGATCCAAATTCTGCGTCCCATATTATTGGCTCTTGTAAAGCTGGTATCTATCTATAAGTGACTCAGCTAGGCCACTAATTGTTTGGTTTTCAGGGTAGCCCCTATCCAAAGTATCATGCAAATATTTTACATACCGATGTAAAAAAGTGATTTACTGTACATCAGTGTGTAAATTATCTATCAATCTAAAGATCTACTACTGTACAGTATCTTAGCCTCTTTCAAGTCTGAATTTATCTTGCATTTTCCGAATGTTCTTTAACTGATTCTAACCAGATACTTTGTCACTGAATGTTTCTGTTTCCATTCTGACTGATTTTAACCCATCTGCAAAATTGTGTATTTATTACTGCACAAAAAATGGGATTTTGTCATACTGGGAGGGCTGTAACTTGGAACAGAGGACAGGATTTGTCCATAAAAAGTCTCAGTTAGGATTGAAGAAAAATACATGGGAGAGCCAGCTTATTTCTGGGTTCACAATCACTGTAAGCCCCCTTAACCATGGTTTGATGAAACTACAGTTTTCTGGCTTTGCATCTTGCACTAAACTGTAAATGATTGGTCTGGTTTTGGATTAATGTTGTATAACCTCCACTATTGTAATTTTTTTTCTATTCAACAAACAATGCTTATACAAATTTGGCTTTTGTATATTGTGTGATTCCCAGGCTTGGGCTGTGAAGTGTTTCTCAGTACAGATAGTCCTCAACTTACAGCAGTTCACTTAGTGACTGTTCAAAGTTACAACAGTACTGAATAAAGTGACTTATAACCATTTTGCACAGATACAACCTTAGCATCCCTGTGGCCATGTGATCAAAATTCAGATGCTTGGCAACTGTCTTGTATTTATGACAGTTGCAGTATCCCGGGGTCATATGATTGCCTTTAGCGATCTTTTGATAAGTAAAGCCAATGGGGAAGCCAGATTCACTTAACAACCAGGTTACAAACTTAACAACTGCAGTAATTCACTTAACAACTATGGCAAGAAAATGGAGCAAAACTCACTTAACAAATGTCTCCCTTAATAACAGAAAGCTTGGGCTCAATTGCGGTTGTGAGTCGAGGACTAGCTTAATCCATACAAGAAAAGTTGCCTTACAAAGGGGAGTCAGATTAATGGTGTCAACACAGTTAACCAAAAA